ACCTTGAAAGAACATATATACAAAGTAATTTAAGCCTGTAACATACCAAAAATGTCTATAAGAAAATTGAGTTGGGCGGAACTCTTACTCCTCAAGTAGAAAATAAAGGGTGTACCAAAAAAAAAAGAAAAAGAAAAAGAAAAAGAAAATAAAGGGCATATTTGGTAAAACTTAAAAAATTATTTACTTTAAAAGTATTATTTATCTCTTATAGATTTAAAATTTTATTGAAAGGAAATAATGAAATTAATTTTTTAAGTAAGTCTTAAACAAATTTTGAAAAGTTACGTATCTAAGCTTTTCAAAAGTTGTTTAAAATCTCCTTAAAAAAAAGTTGTTTAAAACCTATTTTAAAAGATAATTTTTAAATTTTTCTTTAATAAAATTTAAAATTTATGAAATATAAATAATATTTTTAAAATAAAATACTTTTTAAATTTTGCCCAATACCTTCTAAATTAAAAACTCTTTATAACTTATAGATATTGTCAAAACCTCTTATCCATATAAATCTTAAAAATTAAATGATGAACAAAAAATATTGTATAATTTAAATTATATTAAATTATATAACCAAATTTATTAGAGGGGAGCATACTTTCTAATATTAGGGACTATCTCCCATTCAACAATTCCACTTTTACAATGTAGTGCAATAAGTCAATAATGTAAAATAGGTAGGTAACTCTAAATGTACCATTTCCATCTATTATTTCTAGGCTTAATTCAATCTTTAGTCTATTAACTATAAGCTTAATTTCATTTTAGTCTAGAAAATTTATTTTCTTTCTAAATGATCTATAAACTTTGAAAATATTTCAAAATAGTCTACCAATACAAAATTTTGTTAGATTTAACGGAAAAAATAGTCCTTTAAGTTTTGAAAAAAAAATGACACTATAATCCTAATAAAATATGATGATCAAGAAATATTTTATAGAGATAAATTAGTTAAAATTTGTAATAAACTTAAGCAACTAATCTATTTTACAAAGATATATTATATGCAGTCTGTCTTAAAAAATTATTTAAATATTTTTAAAAAAATAATATAAAAATAAAATTAAGGATAGTTAAATAATTTTACAGGATAGACTACAAACAATTCGTTCTGTAAAATAGTTTTCTGAAGAACACATTTAGCAAGATAAAATTAAAAACTATTTTTATGGTGAATATAAATTTATAGATTAAAAGATCAAAATAAATATAATTAGAGGACTAAATATTTTCTTAAAGAATAAAAAGATTCCATTAAAGATAACGAATATTTCCGTTAAAAACAACAAACTAAATGAAATTGAAATAAATGTGAAAAATAATAGACAGAATTGAAAGAATTCAAAAATAATAAAAAAAACTGAAAAAAATACAAAAGTTAATAGATAATGTGTTAAATTAATCCATTACTTCTAAGAAATACTGTTGTGGGTTCCCTTTTTTCCGTTTCAATTTCAGTTAGCATCCTATTATGGCCAAGAAATCATTGTTTACTTCCTCTCACGTCCCAACTAAGCTTTTTATTCAAAATTTATCTCAAATTAATTATTATTTTTAAATAAATAAATATTTCTTTTCAACTTTAATCATATATTCTTAATCCATGGAACAGAGGAGGTAACACTAACATCAATATCACATAAACAAAATTATTTGATATTGATCGAGCTTTACTCAGTTATTTAAGAGCAACCATTTACCTACTGTTTAAAAAAGAACTTAACCAAATAGAAATCAAAATCGACAGAACTTTCATTGAAAACTTGCAAATCCTGGTAAAATACGATCTAGCTCCATAAAAGTCTTCATTAAATCGCATTTTAACTCAACAGCAAAATTCGCCAAAATTATTGTGAAAAAGTTTGGGTTCCAAAATATCAACTTATTAAATGAAAGGCACAACTCCGATTCAATTATCATCCAACTCTAATCTAGTAGGGCACAACAGGCTTGCGGAAGTTTTCTCCGGCATAAACTGCTTCTGCGCCAAGCTCTTCCTCAATTCGCAAGAGCTACATGCACAAAAGAACATCAATGTAATCAGGGATTGCCGTTGACATAATCACTTTCATTCTAAAGCTGATGAAAAAGAAAGTTCTAATGGGGCATTGAAGAAGTACTAATTTTCTTATTCAAAGATGCTAACCTGATTGTACTTGGCCAAACGCTCAGACCTGCATGGAGCTCCTGTCTTGATTTGACCCTGTTCATAAACAAAGAAGGTTAATCAAATTGGATATTTTTGTTGTACCAATGCTATAGCCTTAAGATCAGATTTCAGAAATGTGAATTACCGTCGCCAAACCAACTGAAAGATCAGCGATGAAAGTGTCCTCAGTCTCACCACTGCAAGCAAATAATTTTTGTACAATTTGTAAGGGACCAGAACACCAAAAACAATGAAAATAATACCGTTCCTGATGTTTCAAGGTCGAAATCCAAACCTGCGATGGCTGGCCATCACACCCCACCCAGCTCGCTTGGACATCTTGACAGCTTCAATGCTCTCGGTTACAGATCCAATTTGATTAACCTGATCACATCAAATATAATAAACGATTCAGAGTTTTGAGGACACAAACAACAAACCCTTTAAGGAACGAAAATTACCTTAAGAAGAAGGGCATTACAAGTCTTTTCCTTGATAGCCTTCTCAACCCTCTGCAAACATCAAAAATGAAAGTATGAAGTCACATGTGAAAAGGTCGAGGGATCATTTAGATGTTTGACTCCATGGTGCCTCCTCTTATATTAAAATTTTGAAATGATATGACATGGATGAAACAGATTGCAAGGAAACCTTCAAAATGAAACTTTTACCTTGGGGTTGGTGACCAGGAGATCATCTCCCACAATCTGAACTGTTTCACCAATTTCTCTGGTTAGCTTGGAGTAGTGCTCCCAATCATCTTGGTCAAAGGGGTCTTCAATTGACACAATAGGATACTCAGTAACAAATGACTTGTAGAGATCTTTGAGAGCATTTCCAGAGATCTTTTGTGAACCATCATTTCTCTGCACAAGCAGAGCAACAAGAATGAGTAAATGTGAACTGCTACTACTATGATTATAAGAAAGAAAAATCATAGGCATTTCTGCAATACAAACAATGGGATCATGTTAACAAAATTCACCTCTTCCTTGAAGTTCAAGTCATAAGTCTTGTCAGGTCCATAAAATTCAGATGCTGCAACATCCATTCCAATAACAACCTAATATAATGAAGGAAATGTTTCCGTAATTTATCCCTTGCAACAAATACCAAAACAATAGAAAATTTATAATAAAAATGAAGAAATGGCACTTACTTTGCCTGTGTAACCAGCTTTCTTAATGGCAGTATTTAGCAATTCAAGACCTTCCCTGTTCTCCTGTAATTTCAAAAAGAATTATGTCAAACAACCCGTGACAAAAATGTAAAATAAAAGAGCAAGTTAAATTTATTAACTAATAATCTCTTTACAGTACGACTCACCTGAATGTTAGGAGCAAAACCACCTTCATCACCAACATTTGTTGCATCCTGACCGTACTTTTTCTTGATCACTGCCTTCAAGTGATGGTAGACTTCCACACCCATCTTCATTGCCTCTTTGAAACAAGAAGCTCCAACAGGGAGAATCATGAACTCCTGCAGATAAAAATTGTTTCAGAACTCAACAGTGAATAGCACTTCTATAAAGCAAATCAAAATGAATGATCCAGATCCCTGCCTGCATAGCAAGTTTGTTTCCAGCATGTGATCCTCCATTGATGACGTTGAAAGCTGGAACAGGCAACACCAACTTGCTGTTGCCAGCAAGGTTGGCAATGTGCTGCAAGCAAAAACAAGTTTTTATTAGATTGAACTCCAAGGGATTAATAAAAAAAAGCCTAATAATGCACTGTCTATGAGGAAACAGAAAAAGAAAAATCCCAAGTAACCTTGTAAAGGGGAATGTTTTTGACCAGAGCCCCAGCTTTGCAAACTGCAAGAGACACTGCAAGGATGGCATTTGCTCCAAGCTAGAGGAAAAGAAACAAAGAAAGATAGCAAAGGTATCAGGTTAGCAAAAAAGCTCAAAAAGCTCCATCAAATTTATCATGCAAGGCAACAAGAACACAATTAGTCCTATTACCTTCTGCTTGCACCAACCCCACTCACTTTGAGTTCCATCAAGTTGTTGAACCATGAAGTTATCAATAGCTGTCTGTTCAGTTGGGTCCTGGGAAAGCAATATGAAAGAAAACACAAGCTTCAGAACAAAACCATCAGGCAATTTAAAAAACATAAATAGTTTCACTATCAACCGTTAAATTCAAATTCCAACTTGATTACATACCTTGCCAATCAATGCTGGGGCAATGATTGTGTTTACATTTGCAACAGCCTACATATTAAGAACAAGAAGGGGTGTATGAGTGAAAGACAATTTTTTTCAAGGGACAAAAATTGATCCGTCTGCAAGAAAACTCACCTTTGATACACCTTTGCCAAGATAATCAGACCCTCCATCCCTCAATTCTAGAGCCTCGTAAATTCCTAAAATTAAAATTTTCAAATCAGACATGCATTACCCATTATTAAGCAACATTTAGAATTTTTTTTTTATTTTTTATTTTTTTAGATTTGAGCTTATTTTCTTGAATAAGATTCAATTTCTAAACGTCAACTAGAACAACACCAAAAATGTACTATACTAACACACAATCCCTTATACAAAACATACCAGTGGATGCACCGCTGGGGACTGCTGCTCTAGCCTTCACACCATTTGATGTTTCCACATCAACCTAACATACACAATCATATTCAATCAAAAACAAAATAAATTCACTAGTTCATCCAATCAAAAAACTGAAAGAAAAACAAACAATTTCAATGCAAAATAATCCACATTAATTTATTCCTATGCAATCACCAATAATAACAACAATAATCTGTGTAAAATGTAAATAAATGCTTCATATTAGAACTTCCGAAACAAACAATTTCAACACATAATAATCCAGATTAATTTATTCCAATACAATTACTAACTATAATAACAATAATCTGTATAACTAAATGCATCAAATTATTAGAACTTCCGATTCAGCTCAGGAAGAAATCAATCCCAAACACAATCAAAAACAGATAAAAACAGCGTTAATCGGGAACACCAGTCAACTAAAAACCAAACACACAGAGTAGACGAGAACGGAAACATAAAAATAATCGGAAGCAAACCTCGACAGTGGGATTGCCACGGCTGTCGAAGATCTGCCTGGCCTTGATGGAGACGAT